TTTTTTTTTTTTCTGTTCGATTTTTGGCGATTTGAAGGCCAATTATTAAAAATAAAAATCAACCAATCGTCGGAGAAGATGTTAGTTGTTATTTTAATGTAATGTAGTATCGTTTTTTATGTTGTTTATGAATGTTTAATAGTTATATTTGGTCAATTGAGTATTGTTTATAAAATCTTGAATGTTGGTTTAATAATTGTGTTAAATGATTATAATTAGCTATTGTATGATGGGTTTTTGTTGTATGTTGAATATTTATCCGAATTGTTTATGAATTTGATGTTATTGTTGGATTATTAATTAGGGTATTGGTGGTGATTAGGGTTTTTGTTGTATGTTGAATATTTATCCGAATTGTTTATGAATTTGATGTTATTGTTGGATTATTGTTGGATTGTGGTGATTAAGGTATTTGCTATTGTTTTTTAGTTGGAGTAAAAATATGATTAATTATATGGTGTTGTTGGTAATGAGTTTTAATTTTAGATTGGTAAAATAACAATTGAATTTTTCTCGACTGTTTGATTAGTCCCGTTTTCATGTTGTTGTAATTTGTAAAATAAATTTTTTTTTTGTGCAACAGGTTATAAATGGCGTCTATCGGTCCCTACATTGTTAATGTGTACTGAAAAATTCCTCAGAGTGAGTTAGAAAATTTTTCAAATTATTTGGCTAGTCCGGATTGTTCATTTGTTATTAATGGAATAATATCATATGAACAATTGGTAGACATGATTTACGAAAATGGTGGATTTCGTGAGAGTTGGACAATTTCGGATATTACTTTGATGGTCAAACAACCGGATTGTTCGTTTATTCCCGCAAGACTGAATAATGATAATGCTCTTTCGTGGATTTACTACTATCTCCTATGTCCTTTGTGTTTTTGTATAATGTGTTGGAAGCAAACACACAAGTTACACATGTTGAGGATCCTACGCCATCATCATATGGTTACGGGGGAGTGTTTGGTGGTGAGGGTACGTGGACTACGCATGTCGGTAATTTTGGTGAAGGGACGAGTAATTTTGGTGAAAGGACGAGTAATTTTGGCGAAGAAACGAGCTTTACCATGAGAGGACCGGACATTGAGGAAGAAATTGTTGGAGTTGAAGATTTCAGTCTCGGTGAAGACGATTTCACTGATGAGACCTCAGAAACTGAATCGGACAGATCAATTAATGAGGAGAGCGAACAAGAATTCAATGAAGAACACCCCTTTCCAAATGAAGGCCTCCACGTATATCGCAAGATGGGTGAGTGAGACGCGTCGTGTGTAGACAAGGATGAGAATGCCTTGCCACTCTGGGATGGACATGTCGAGACTATCCTTTTGGGTACAATTTTTCGTACCAAAAAAGAAGCCCAGACTGGTGTTTTGGCCTGGAATGTTGAAATCTTAGGGCGGTCCGGACAAAAGATTCCAACAAGAAGTCGTTCAAAGTTGTGTGCAGATCAGCTGAAGTTCCACCATGTATATGGAAGGCTCGGGTGAGTCTTAACACACAGGATCACGACATGTGGGAGGTAACCGAATGGACCGATAGCCACACTTGCATGCAGGTGTTCGAGAGAAATGACCATAAGAATGTGACCGCCACCATGATCTCAAATCTTCTGTTGGCTAAGATTCAGAAGCAGGTGACCTACAGTGTGAAAATGGTCCAAGTCGACGTAAAAAGCGCTTGGAGCATCAATGCAAGCTATAAGAATGCGTGGCACGGGAGAAAAATAAAGCCATCGATCGTTTGTATGGCACGTGGAAATCGAACTTTGCACAACTCCCCCAGTAAGTGTGGAAATTAATTATTAATGTATTTCCGTGTTGTTTGTAACTATATTTATTTATTTATTTATGGTTAATTTTTATAATTTGCAGGTTTTTCGCCGCCCTTGAAATGGCGAATCCCGGTACAGTCGTTGAGTGATAATGGCAGGGTGGGGAACTGGCGCATCATTCTCGAGACAGAGAATTCAGATTTGTCTTCTGGGCGTTCGGCCCCGCCATTCAAACAATCCTTCATTGCCCGCCGATTATTAGCATCGACGGCAGTCACATGCGAGGTTCGTACAAGGGGAAGCTACTTATTAATTACAAATTAATTTTTTATTTATTGATTTATAATAGTGTCTGATAAAAAAAAATATATGTCCAACTGACAGGTTCGTACAAGGGGAAGCTGCTTGTTGCCATAGAACAAACCGCGAATAAGCGTCTATTGCAAGTCGCGTATGCGATTGTGGACGAAGAAAGCACGACAAGTTGGTCCTTTTTCCTAATACATCTACGCAATCATGTCGTCCGCGACAGACAAATATTTCTTCTTTCCGACAGGGACAACAACATATTGAGTGTCGTTGAATTGCTGGAGGCTTGGCACGAACCCCATGCATTTCATCGGATATGCCTTCGACACCTCCGGAGCAACGTGGTTTCAAGGTATCGGAATAAGAAAGTCCGGGTTTTGTGCAGTTAGGTTCACTGTGTTCTCGTCGCAAATTTGAGCAGGCTCGACAGAAACACCAGGAATGTCACCCAGAAGCATACAATTACCTTTTCAGAATTCCTTTGGAAAAGTGGACCCTGTACAGAGATAACAGACGTCGATGGGGCACTCTGACAACCAATATGTCCGAGAGTTACAACAACGTCCTCAAAGGTGTTAGGTTCTTGCCCTGTAGAGCGTTGGTACAGACCACAATGAACAATACTCTGGATTTGTTTGAACATGAACAAAAAAAGTCCAGAAGCTGCAGGAGTCTCATTCCTACCGACCTCTATGCCGCCTATCTGGTGTTGGAGAGGACAACGGCGACTCACGAGGTGCGACGTGTGGACGCCGACAAGTCCCAGTACAAGGCGATAACCGGTCTATGCGTCAGTAGAAGAGGGCAAAACACATATGTATTTTTTATTATTTATTTGTTCATTCAAATTAGTTTTTTTTTTTATTTTTATTTATATATATAAATCATTGTGGAAAACAAGTTTATGGTTGATTATCAGCAGCAACGTTGTACATTGTCGGAAGTGGCAGACACATCGGAAACCATGCTCTCATGCATTAGCTGTGTGTCGTTACCGGGCTGATCAATCGAACTTGTTGTACGATTCCCACTTTTGGAAGGAGAAATGGGTTGCTCAATTTTCTAATTGGAATTTTGCTCCAATTGGAATCTTGACACGTGGCCGCATGTGGGATAAAATTTGATTCCGCATTGGGAAAGGATCATCTCGAAGCCTGGACCCGGTCGCACCCAAACGAGACGCTTTAAAATACAAATGGATCGTCGGGCGCACCACAGAAGGGGCCGGGATCAATGCAGTAGATGTGGTGATCCTGAACATTTCACGGACCATTACCCGTATTCGCATCTTCCCACCGATTGAACTAGACTCCGTGATGATTGGGGGAACTAGATTTTTGTATATTTTGAATGAATCAGATTGTTATGATGAATATTTTGTATTTGGACTATTTATATAATGTGTGGAACGGTTGATTTGATGGTGCATTTTCGTGTATGTTGATTACCTAAAAATGGAACCGGGGCGAAAAACGAAGAAAACGAGGTGATTACTTAAAAAGTCGCGACCTAACTCGCAAGTCGCGACTCCATCTCGCGAGTACAATTGAAGTCCAATTAGTACAATTGAAGTCAAATTATTACAATTGAAGTCAAATTAGTACAACTGAAGTCAAATTAGTATAATTGAAATCAAATTAGTACAATTGAAGTCAAATTAGTACAATTGAAGTCAAATTATAGTGTAATGGAACACGAATTAGTCCAATTGAAGTTTAATTAGTTCAATTGAAGTCAAATTAGTACAATTGAAGTCAAATTATAGTGTAATGGAACACGAATTAGTCCAATTGAAGTCAAATTAGTTCAATTGAAGTCAAATTAGCACATGTTTATTGTGTTTTCGTGCCTATTTTTTTGTATTTTATGTGTTTCAGTTTTGTGTTTTTAGGTTCGTTTTAGTGTCGACCGGTCCATTTTATCGTGTTTCGTGCATTTTTATTCTCGTATTGTGGTTCGTCGTATTTTTCTTGTCTTTTTTGTGTTGATTAGGTCCATTTTGACGATCTTGGGAAAACGAGTCGTCCGAGTCGACCGACCCGAGCTGAGCCGACCGACCTGACCGAACCACCCGAGCCGTCCCGGGCCATGACCAGGTCTGGACCCACGCACTGACCCGCGCGCGCACCAGCATCGACCCGCGTGCGCCAGCAGCAACCCGTGTGCACAAGCAACAACCAGCCTGCACCCAGCAGCAGCGCACGCCCGCGTGCGCGAAATAGCCCGCGACCTCGCGAGTGCAGCAACAACGCACGCCCGCGAGCTCGTGAGTTGATGAATGGATCGCGGTTCTTGTCTATTTGTTGTGAATAATCACACACTCAGGGCCTTCGACTAGACATGATAAGTGTGACTTCAAGACGCTCTCAGGGCCTTCTCTCCGACACGGTTGTATGATAAACACGCACTAAGGGCCTTGCTTAAACACACGAATGAACATAATGTTCTTTTCTATTCAACTCATCAATTTTCCAA